CCTCTGATGTCTGCCGAGGTTTTCATACGGGGTTTCTTTCAAAGGCATGGGTGTGATTGAAGATGTGTTGTACTGGGACAAGCAGCAGTGGGGAGCTGCTCCCAGCAGCCTGCAGGGGCGGCGAAGGCTCTGCTGTACCTGGGTAGAGGGGACGGTGTGTGTGCCTTGGATATGTTGAACCGAGAAGAGCCCTTCTAGTGCCTATCTGTCTGTTTTAACTGAGGTCTTCCATAGTCAAACCCAGCTGGCAGCAGCCACAGGACAGCCTGACACCTCTGCATCAGGCCAGGCCATTGTCCTGATAGGCTGATTCCTTCAGCGAGCACAGAAGGAGGCCTTGGCTGACCAGGGTTCGCACACCCTGCTCTGACATGCTCTGAGAACACCTGAGCATGGGGACTCATCTATCCCCAGAAATGTCAGTTCTTCTGCGTGGCAGAGCCCCTGGGAGCCACTTAATTCAGTCCCTGAAGAAGTTTCAAGGTTTGCCTCCCTTTGAGGGTCTCAGTGGACTGGATGATCTGCAGTTAATGCCGCTTAATTGATGTTCGCGGAGCTTAGTCATCTGAACCCTCGGGAGTGGCTTCCTCGAAAAGCTTCGCTGGGTTTGTTGCTAGGGACGAAGCTATTCAGAGGGCAAATGCGTTCGTTTCCAGGCTCCTTCTGGTTCGTGCTTTTTATTCTTTTCTCCCATAGGAGGTGTCCCAGTCCTGAGGTCAGGGAGCCTCCCCCTGCCACCCCACTGATCCGGGTCCATTGCTCATCCAGCTCAGAATGCCCTGGAAGGGTCTATAAGTCTCCTGCATCTAAGTATGCCATGTGCTGGTTTCCTGGCTTTACACAGCCTTGGTTCATTCAGACCCCTGTGCTTGCCTGGGGCTTGTTCATGGCTCAGGGTGTTCATGCTTTCTCCCTGGTCCTCCAAGCTCAGAGTTTGGACCAAGCAGTGGTTCAGAATGGACCAGAGGGATGGACAAGTGATTCTAAGAAGGTGTCCAGGCTCCGGACTCCAGGCTGGTGAGGGACCTGCCCTCCTCCCCTGCTCACCCATGATAGGATGGATGCCCACAGC